TGGCCCATCAACCAAATCTGCAGCAGTCAATTAAAGTGAACCCAGCGTTGGTGGAAACACAGAGCTTACACAAGTGGAGAGAAAGGAGGACTAGATGTGTCATCCTTTTTATCCTTGCTCTCATTCCATATTCTTCAGTTGTTTTCATGCAGCGTGTGAATGATGGCTTCCTACATTTAGCTGCTGTAGATTAGCATACACCTCTGAGCTGAGAGCAAATTCAAGATCAAGAGATGAGAAGGGCAAACTGTGCATGTTTTTCTTTAGAGGTTACTTTGTAGTGTAATATTTCTGACGTGGTACTTTTACATGGATTGGTTTATGAATTACAATGGGAAAAGAAAAGTGAAAATGCTGAGTGATTCATCAAAAATTCACAACTGATGACTTACAGATACACACATTTTGAGTAGTAGTAGCAGTGGTGAGCCGTGACTTTTATACCTGGGCCCTCTGACGATGTCATCACTATCACTGACATGAGCCATCATGAATGAACTTATGCTAATCATAAATCTATCGATCATAAATCTATCGATTAGATTTATGATTCGAAAATTATAAAAGTAGGATAGACATGTGGATATTATCCGGCTGAACAAAACGTGCATTTATCTAACAGGTTAGTTCAACAGACCTTATTTCGAGCTATTTTCCAAAACCCTATGGAGAAATCCCATTGCTTTTTTGGCGAGGGAACCCGAGCGCAGCTTACTTCCGGGTTTTAGGATGCGTCACTGCACCACTCTATAGAGTGGCGAAGTCACGCCCATCTACTTCCGGTCCATGGGACCTTATTTCGGAAAAATAATGTATTGAAGTCAATGGAGACATATCTTTCGATCCCGTTCCGATAATCCAAAAATCAGCTCCTAAATTCTAACCCTATCTCCTATTCCTTGACCTCTGAGTGAAACGTCACGGGGTTAAGGGATAGTGGATAGGAGAATTCAAAAGGACTTAGGAGAAGAGACCGCGGTACTTTAGAGAATCCGAATGCACTTTCACTATCCGACGTGTTTATGATGCGCCAGCGGACGTCATGAATGTGCGTCTGCTGCTGTGGGGAAACTATGGAAACTACAGTTTTCTATACAACGGACTACAACATGGATGTATAATAAGAACGAGGGACTACTGTAAACTCATCTAGAGACTCTGCACCGTGCTCTGATGCTGTTGCTGTTGCTTTATGCGTTATGAACGTGGACAACAGAGAAACATATTCTTCATGACCAAAGTTGGAATTGAAATAAAAAAGGAAAGTGAAACTTATGCTCGTCACCCTCTCCCCTCCGGTCCACATTAATACAAATGATCCCAATACGTATGATTGTATGAAAATATCTTAAAATCAATACAAATGTATTTATTATAAACGTTAGTCCTTAACATCTATCACTGTGTATATCACCATTCAAACATCTTTTAAAAGTTGAACAAACCCCACAGCTCAGTAAAGACTGTGAAATGTTGACTTTATTTGATCATTTCAGTAAAAACTAACGTTCATATTTCTCTTTTTGATTATAATACTGATGAACGTTCAGAAAAAAGCACTTTGGCAACTTACCACATACGTTTTAAAATGCTTAATAAGCACCGTAACTTTCATGATATCATTTCTCGGTCATAATCGGTTGTTTCCGTGAACGGCCGACTGTTGTGATGGCAAATGCTGCGGCTGCAATGCATTGTGGGGCAGCATTTTCTCCTCTCCTTTCGGTTAGGGAGGTCCAGTGGTTCCTAAGCTAAAGGAGGTTATAAAGGAAGTTTGAAACCTCCTTTCCTTTCATTTGGAGAATTGGAACGACACTTATCATGGCTGCCAGTGACGTACTTCCGGGTCATTTCACTCCGTTAGGAAGGTTCCTAAGCTAAATGGACTATTGGAATGCAACCATGCATAAACTTCACAGCGGGCGGAACTTGTCATGAAGTCCGCGAAAATAAAGCCCACCCATTTAGAGGGAAGATATGATTGGTCAATTGTACTGTAATTTGACATTACTCTCTCATTGAGTTACTATAGCTGGCCCTCTGTGAATTTACAGCAGGACAGTAACTCGCAGAGAGGGCCAGACGAGCTTCTTTCATTTAACCCTTCACATTCCAACAGAAACTGAACAGGCATATTCGAAGGATTTATTTCTTTGGAAATGTTATTTTAAATACAATTAAATCAAATTATTTGTTGTAAAACTAATGAAAAATATAACTAAACAAATATTTTAAAAACAAATATTTTAAAAAACATGTTTTTTTTAATGTTTTCAAATATCATTTTTTAGAATATCTTAGGCCCTCAGAGAGGGCCCTGACGGCTCGCCAGTGAGTAGTAGTAGTAATAGTAGTAGCAGTAGTTTACTTTACTATTTTCATTTTATCCAGCCTTTGCCGGATCTAGCCTTTTTTCCAAGCAAAATGTGATGTCATATATGAAAGTGATCATGCATCATCATACATTTATAAAATAAGATAATGTTCTTCAAATGGAACTATTTAACAGTATAAAGTTAGATATTGCACAACCTGCACCGAGTGGCGGTTCTACGGGGTGGCATGGGGTGGCAGCTGCCACCCTAATCTGCCGGAGTCTTCACAGATTCTTGTCTTTTTCCTGGGATGGCATTGCATGCAGTCCCTTGTCCCGATTCTTGCAGCCAACAACAGCACAATGTTTAACTCCCTTAGACAACCTGGCAAGAGCAGGCAAACACACAGATGTGACTGGGGGAGATTTAGCTTTCCGACAGCCTATATGCGAATGAGAAGTTGGGCAATGGCCGTGGCCGTGGCTCAACCTCTCATCCTCCTGATACTGTAGGTGGAGAGTTGCCCATATAGGCGGAGCACCCCTTTTCTGACGTCAGAGAAATTCAAATCTGTATTAGCTCCGTTGCAGCACCGTTTTTAGAGATTTGGGTATGGAGGAAAAGACAGAGTGTTGTGTTTTCTGACACTTGGTGAGTTCCCTGACACACCAGGGACACATATTCATGTACAAGAGATGTACAAAAGTGCATTTTGCATGATGGGTCCCCTTTAAATATTTATTAGAATATTAAAAAAAATCATGCTTCAAAAAAGTGGGGGCTCCAAATAAGTGGGGGGACGGCGATCCCCCGCATCCAACGACCACTACACCACTGGTTAAGATGATGACCTTACGTGTGTAAAACATTTTTCTTCTTTATGGGGGTCTGCCCCCAAAAAACAGTTTCCAGTCCTGAGAAAGTCAAATAAGACGGTGTGTAAAACTTCACTGCCCAGCCAAAAAAAAGTAACCACTTTAATTTAACTAGGCCAGTAGGGCTTTCCACTGGATAATAACTGCAGCGATGTTTATGTTTTAGCTGAATACACATTTTTTAACCTTAACTGATGCAGTTAGTCACTTCCTTAATGTTTGTTCTTTCTGATGTAAAGTCAAGGTTGTAACTGTTTGCAATGAAGTTGTGGGGCGCTGAACTGTTCCTTTGGATCTTTTGATATATGATAGTAATTACTTGTCTTTCAAATTTGAAGGATGGTGAGCAAGCATCTTGAGGAACATTCATCATTAACTCCTCCAAAAAATATAGTTTATTTAATAATAACACTGAATATGTGAATCATAACAGTGATTGACAGCTGATAGGAATAATATGATTGTTAATAGTATCATATTAATTCAGACAAACATTGACGAGACAGTTAATTAATGTATTTATTGCAGCAGTCTGCATAGATTTGGTACCCCTGCTGGTCTAAGAGTGAGACAAACTCATTCAGTTATTGTTCAGTTAAAATTCATTAAATTATGTCTGCCACCTTATCAGTGGCGGCGCCAGGGGGGCTAAAGCACCCCCAGGATAGCCATAGCACCCCCTAAGCACCCCCAAGAAATGTATGTGTATTTCTGAGGCACACGTTTATATGATCATTATAGGTTTAAAAAAAATAAGAGCATATGTGAAAAACAGGTATGAAATACTATGACAGTAAAACAAGAATACATTTTAAACGGGGAGTGATTTGTAAAATATCCATAAAGAAATAGAAAATCTGTTTACAGTTCTGTCTCATATGGGTGTTGAGAGATGTATCAATAGATCTCTTCATGTTGCTCTCAAAGTGCACCAGATTGATGCATTTCATTTAAATATTTAAAAATAAATCTTCGCGGGGAGCATGCACCCGGACCCCCCTAGAGGATGTGAGGTCCACTCCCCACTTATAAAAAAAATTGTACTTTACCCTGCTTACACCTATATGCCGTGAGCTGATTATCAAGCCTTCATTGTAACAGTCGCGGGTACACTGTGTATGTGCGTGTGGGTTGAAATTCAACTGTAGCACCCGGGACATTAATGGGAAATCCTAAATGTTTGAGAACCCTCTATGAAACCTCAAGCTACCCCACAGCACCCCCAAAAGAAAATCTCTGGCGCCGCCACTGCACCTTATATATTTATATTTAAGGCTTTACTGATTTGCCACAATAATGTCACCTAATGTTATTGAGTTCAAATATAAATATTGTGGCTTTCCAAGTTCACATTGATTGATGTGACTGCGATTAAATCAGCACTTCTGCCAGGGGATGCCACCCCTCAAATTCTCCTGCCACCCTCTTGCAACACCATGAATATTTGTCTTGATCCGCCCCTGCCTCCACCAGCTGTAACAGTCAAATGTGTTTCAACATCAGTAACAACATTCTAATAATCTGATATAACAGTATATGATAACATAACTTCCTGAAACCCATCAATTAGTCTACGATTTACTTTAATAGAATATTCAGAATTCATTTAGCTGGTAACTATTTTGTAATTTGTATTTGTTAGACTCTATTGTTGGTAGGCCTACTTTGCGCACCCATACACTGTTTATGTAAAGCTCCCAACACTGATCTGGTCGTACCTGATTTCAGTAACACCTGTTCCAGAAGTAGTTTTATTCTGAAATGTGGTACCGGAAGCGAATAGTGCTTTAAATATGAATGTAAACGCTACCAACAGCTCACATCGAGGAATGAACACGAGTCTGCAGACTCAACTGCAGGAGGCGTGACTGTTTTACAGGGGTTTGTTGGAATTAATAGTTTTTCGGGAGACAGTTTACTTCACTCCTACAACCGATAAAAGACACGTTTCTGAGAAAGAAGCTCTCATCTTTCAGCGGTAAGTTACAGCGGTTTATTTAACGTACAGCAGCCTACAGTTTACAAACAGTACCTTCATACAGCAGTGTTTACGTTTGTATTTAACTGCTAGCTTAATTATTTACTCCTGAAAATACGTTAAATTAATGATTTTGGCAGCTATATTCACCAACTTTCATAAGTGTAACCACAGTTTAGTGTTCATTGGTGACCGTAAAAACTTGTGATAAAGTAATATAGTGATAACTATATATAGGCTACTGTTAAAGTACCACTTTACATTGTTAAAAATTAATGAGAACAAGGCTAATTTGGGTGCAAGAGTTTAAATAGGCTAACTTTTGATAACGGCAGCATATTTTATTTTTGAAAAAAGACAATACTTGCTATACTACGTGTCTAACGCCTAGATAGAGTTGTAAACAAATAAATAAATGGAATCACAGTTTGATGTCCACTAAATAATTTGGGACAGGGTTGAGTTCACTGTTATCTGTATAGGCATAAACAAGATTTTGTAATTATTATTATTATTATGTATTAACCAAATGAACATGTCAGCCGATGAGTCACAATAAATCAAAGTGTAGAAATCATAGACTGTATATATAAAGGTAGAAATGCACAATATAGCCTACTGTATTTTTGAGGTATATTACATAAGAGCACTGACTAGCTCTTTGCACACTGTAAAACATTTCTGCTCAGAACATATCTTTTCACAATTCTTTAAAAATAACAACAACAATTAAGAATTTTTAATTTTTCCTTTATTTAACCAGGATAGGTTAAGGTTAGGATAGGATGTTACAGTGTTTGTTTATGTGGGGCTGCAACCTATTTCTTTCTGGTGATTATTTTCTCAATAAATGATTTTATAAAACTCTCAGATCAGACAAAGAAGGATAGAGGAAAATCTTCACATCAGAGAAGCTAAAAAAAAAATACATTATTTGCGTGAGTTTAATTCCAAAAAACTGACTTGAATGGTGAATCAGATATTGAGAGTCTTCGATTATTTTGTTATTTTTTCATGTTACATGTTTATATTGGGACCAATGATTGTGCTCTCAAACATCCTTCAGCACCAGCCTCAAATATCTTATTGGATGGAATATCTATTTGTTCTGATATATAAATATAGATAATGCAGGAGTATCAGTAAACAAATATAAAGAAAGTACAACCAGTTAGGATATCAGAATCAGAATACCTTAATGCTAAAAACCAAATTCTCTGTTGACAATTCACTAGCCAGCTTTATGTTTGGAGAAAAATTAAAATCTCTAAATAAGAGTTGAGTATCTGCCATGGCGGCGAGTGGAGTGGCCAAACGAGCATTTGGCTGCGGGAAGTTGCTACTTTCACAGCTTTTTACGTCTGTGCAACACATACTCTGACCCTTTGCATGTTTTTCTTCTGAGAGCCCTCTTATGTTATTGAGAGACTCATCTTATTTTCTGTGTGAAGTTTTCTCTGCGTGCACAAAATAATGTTCAGGACAGCAATGCCAAAAGGGGTTGTGTTACATAGCTTACAAGTTAAAGGGAGAATCTACCCTAAATTCACCCGATGGCCGTTTTGGCCAAGCTTACTTATTATTCTTTTTAAATAATCAATAAAGTCTTTAGTCTAAAAAGTGTCAGAAAATAATACGACACATGCATTGTAATGTGAAAGCCCAATGTGAAGAACCAACAGTCCAAAACTGAAGAATATAAGATTTAAATTAATGTAAATCAGGGGAGAAAAAGCAACAACAGGCATTAGCATTAGCAGCCTGGTTTTAGAGAAGACAATCTGTCGATCTGTTTGTCCAACACTTTGGTCCGCACTGAAATATCTCAAAAACTACTTAATACATTTCCCACAAAATGTACAAATATAGATGCTTCTCCTGAGGATCTTAAGTGCCACCATGAAGTTGACATTTTGTTTGACATCACCTCTAGGGCCACCAAGAGGTTGACAGTGGTAGTGTTGTTGTGGCTAGCATTGTTGTGGACTCTCTGTCTTGTTCATTGATAAAAGATTAACTAATCTTCTAAACTGTTCCTTATGAATTGACAAACCGACTGTTGGTTTCCAAACCTATATTCTTTGTATATTTCCTGCATGTGAAAGGATTTTAAAAGTTGAAATTGTTGTGTCAGTTTGTCTCCCAGTTGTCAAGCTCGTGCCACAGAACGTAGCAAATCTACAGTTTGATTCCAGGACTATTGTTGCATGTCGCGGCCCATTAAGGCCCTGTCACACTGTCCCGAAATTGACACCCGATAGACACACGATAAAGGAAATGTTCAAATTCGGCTGTGATCGTAGCAACATCGGGCCATTCGTGAGGGCATCTAAGCCATCGTATGACCGCCGGTGGAGTTTCTCAGGCTCCGGCAGCAACTTCGTGAGCGGCAACTTCGTAAGGCACTCGTGAGGGCATCTTGTCAAATCGTGTCATCTTCGTGTTATCATCGGTGCATTCACCCTCACTCTGATCGGGGCGAATGCCCGATGGCACCGATGATAACAAGATGCCCTCACGATGGCCTTACGAAGGGCAAAATTGACACACGAATTCAACACGAAAATGAACCTTCGCAAGGTCCTTCGGCAATTTTTTGGCATGCCAAAGATGTTGCCACCGCTCACGAAGTTGCTGCCGGAGCCTGAGAAACTCCACCGGCGGTCATACGAAGGCTTAAGATGCCCTCACGAATGGCCCGATGTTGCTACGATCACAGCCGAATTTGAACATTTACTTTATCGTGTGTCCATCGGGTTGTTTTATTGCACAGCAAAATCATGTAAATATATTATGTAAATAACCCAATTTTTGTTCTGTGAAACTAAAAAGGATATAATATATTATTTTGAAGGACAGTTGACAGGAAGTTGTTGTTGCTATGGAAACAACATTACGGAGAAAATGTAATATTTTCTACATATAACGACGGATAAAGTAAAGAACAAAGTCTGAAGATATCAGTACAGTATCATAGTACTGTAACATAATTGTTTTTGTTACTTTCGTTGCAGTTGTAGGTCTTAAATGTAATGTAAATGTTGCCTTCGTGTGTGGTTCGGGGCCATCTTCGTGCGAAATTCACAATTCCATATTCGTGTGTCCATCGGGTGTCAATTTCGGGACAGTGTGACAGGGGCTTTAGTCTACCAATGTTAGCTGTCACTCGGCTAAACAATCGATAAATAATCTTTAAAAGAACAGACATATGAGGATAAAACCCTCTCAAATCCAGTCCAGCCACAAGCCATGATTTGATTCTGTTTTTCTTGAGGAGTCCGTGTTGCTCTCGGTCTCACCACCTCCACATCCTGAGAGTTCAGGTCGTGTGTCTCTCTGGAGGACAGGCATTGTGGCGACGGGGAACCTCAGGTCCATCTGTCCCTTCTTTTCATGAGCAGCACTGAGGCACTTAGTCTATTTGTGGTACACAGCATGGCTGCTGCAGCCGGACAAAAGGAACAGCAGAGCTCAGGGGGAGCGATACGCAAGGACTGGCTGTTACTTTACTTCCCATCCCGCCTGCAGAGCGTCTCATGGGGGAGCAACGCTGCTGGTGGGACAGAGGTCTGACAAATAGAGCCCCTCATTACTGTAGATTTGAGACGCCATAAGGCTGTCATTGTTCAATTTTCTTTGTTCTTTACTTAGCACATTTTGCCAAAGTTATTAAGCACTTTGCTTGTTCTTTTTAAAGAAAAAATAGGTTTGAATATTTAAATGTTTTCCTTAAAAGTTCATTTACCAATTCATATATTCTTCAATATATAAAATAGTCAGAAAATAGTGAAAAACATTAGATCCCTAAGTAGAAAGGGAACTCTTTAAATTCATTTTTGTTTACTTTGACTAACAATCTAAAATCCCCCCAAAAAATGTGTACAACCTTTTTATAATTTCTGTTCCTGAGACAGTGAATTCATTTGTCCAAACAAAAAATAATATGCGATTTATTTTTTAGCCAAAACTCAAAATCTTCAGATTGGCAAATTGGCAATTTTCTGCTTTTAAGATTGTAATATTTTGTAAATGAGGTTTTGAACAGTTAATCGGACAAAAAGAGCTGTTGAAAGATGTTACCGTGGGAAATTTGAAGAAAGTAGTAGTTGTTTTGGTCCAGAAGCAGCTGTGTTGGAAAGTTCAATACAATCTTTTGGATGGAAGAAACTATTTTTTCTGCTAGTTTTTATTTATTTTCCGGGTTTCTATGTTCAGAAGGATTTTGAAGGCAAAAAGCCGTAAACGTATCCAGAAAAATATTAAGAATTCTCTGTAATGGATGTTTTTCTTTTATCATGTGTTAAACCTGCACATGTCTTTCTGCTAATGAGACATTCGTGGTAATCTGTTGAAAAAAGGAAGAGGGTCGTTTCCTTGATTTGTTGATTGAATTAGGAGCCTTTAACACGACCTATTCTTCTCAAACATACTGCAGACACATACGGCTCTTTCAAAGGTTTCTGGTTTTAACGAGATTAAATTCAGTCAAAGTGAATTAAAAGGCAGATGGTCTCCCTCCAGAGAGCGACCCCGACCCCGAACTCTGTTCTGCTGCAGCACGGGGGTCTCTACCAGCTCTTCTCTCTCCTGGCTGTCTTTCTCCTAACACATGTTGAGTTCCTGTGTTAGTCAACTACACAACTTATTTAACTCTTAACCGAAGCTGTGTAAGATCTTCACCATAAATTAGAAATGGAAAATATAAGTGAGAGTATAAAAGACACATAAAACAAAACAAGCATCACTAAATGTAGCTGGTAAAATTAGGTTTAAATATTCAACATCTTAAAGATTGTGTATGAGACAACACAGAAATTGTTTGTTTAATCTATATTCTACCAAATGACTTTGTTTCTCTGAAGAAGTGCTGTTAAATGGACCTTTGGTGACCAAACATTAACTTTTGGTCAAAAAGTGGTACAAAAACATTTCAGTTTCATATAATGGGATCACTTTGATGTCTGATCCTACATGCTGACATTTGTAGTTTCAGTTAAATG